GCGAGCGGGCGCCGAAGAACTGCGCGCCGCCGGCGTCTCCGCCCTGCCCGCTGCCGCCCCGACCGCCACCTTTGCCAACAGCCTCAGCCTGCATAAGACCGGCGGCGTCCGCGGGCAGAACTTCCAGGGCACTGGCCTGCTCGACGGCAGTGTCCGACACCGCGACGACGAGCGCCGCGTCGATCGTGGTGAGCTGTGGCTCGTCAAACGGAAGCGGCGCCAGTGGTTCCAGGTCTATTTCAAGGGGCGCGTCTTCCACTTCGGACGCGTCGAGTGATATCTCAACAAAGTCGTCGTAGTTGTCCGATCCGTCCGTGGCGTTGGCTAGCAGAAACCGGGTCTGGTCGAGCGGCAAAGCAAAGCTTGCCACTCCGAGCAGCAACACCAGCAGCGCGTGGGTGGCCAGGCTGACCGTCCACGCGGGCTTCAACCTCCGCGACTTGCCCCGCGACGGTCTCCGCTTCTGCGAACCCCGCCCAGCGTCTGCCAGGGCAGCGAACTCCTCCTCGGCGATTGCTCTGCCGTCGGTCGTGCATGGCTGCTCGTCGGTAGCGGCGAGCGTCGGTTCCTTGTGGGCGACGAAGGGCTCACGCCCGCTTGTGATGGCGGAAGAGCCCAGCAGGTTGCGGCCTTCGGCCAGACGCTCCTCATCCCGTTCGAGCTGCGCGGTGAGACGCGCGGCGGCCTCATCCTCTCCTCGCGCTTCCAGTCGGGCCAATTCCGCGCGGAGGCGGTGGGTCTCGATCTCAAGCTGGGCCAGCCGCCGACGGGCGTCGCGCAGCAGCTCTTCTCGGCCGGGGGGCGAGTCAGCGTGGATGGGGTCGGCCATGGCAGCAAGAACTGACTCTGGGCCCGCCGGGCAGGCTTGCAGCTCGACAACAGCGATGGGGAGAAGAGACGCCTGGAACGAGTTGCCAGTCTAATTGCGGCCCTCCGTCAGCTCAAACTTGCGGACTAAACTTTCTGCGGTTTTGTCGCTGCGGGGCGGAAATCGATTCGCGACGACAAAACCCCGCTGGCCGAGGCGCGTGGACTCCTGGTTTACGCTTGTATACCAGTGTCTGCGGGCTCTCTCAGCATCTGCGTTTTTGGGTTTTGTCGCACCCATTCCTGCAAGTGCGACAAAACGGGGCAAAGCCGGCGGCTGCCAACGACGTTGTGGGGACGATGTACCCTCGCGTCGGTCCTCTATCCCAATCGGCGCCCTCAGCAGGGCGGTGGGTGTGCCAAGCACCCCTACTGGAACACCCCAGGTGGCCCGATTTCCACAAGAATCCGTGTAGTCGAACAAGGAAATGGTGTGCCCATCCGGCAACGGGCCAAGGCCCAGCTGCCTTGCGCCCGCGGTCAGACCTCCACGGACAGCCCGTCGCGAACCGCGAGCGTATTTGCCAGCTCCAGCTCTTTAGCCGTGTTGACCTCAATCACTGGCCGCGTAACCTCCGTGACACGGATCGTCCGCCCGTTCTCCAGCGCGCGGAGCTGCTCCAGGCTTTCGCTCAGTTCCAACGGCGTCTGCGGCAGCTGGCAGAACTCCAGCAAGAATGCCGCGCGGAACGCGTACAACCCGAGGTGGTGCAGCGAGTCGCCCGAGTCGTAAGTCGAGCCATGGGGGATCACCGATCGCGAAAAGTAGAGCGCGTTCTGATTGACGTCGCGGATGACCTTTACCGCGCTGGGGCCTTCGAACTGCGACCGGTCGCCGAACCGTGTGGCGACGGTCGTCATGTCGGGCGATTCGCCGGCCAGATAGGGGGCGACCAAGGCCCGGAGCATCTCCGGGTCCACAAAGGGCTGATCGCCCTGCACGTTGGCGACGATGTCGGCTTCTGGAAACTGCCGCGCGGCGTCGGCCACCCGGTCGGTGCCCGTCTGACAGTCGGCGGAGGTCATTACCGCCTGCCCGCCGAGGCGCGTGACCACCGCGGCGATCTCCTCGTGGTCGGTCGCGACTACCACCCGGTCGAACACGCCGCTGGACTCGGTGCGTTTGAGCACCCACTCCACCATCGGGCGGCCGGCGATCAGCGCAAGCGGCTTGGCAGGGAGGCGGCTTGAGGCGTGGCGGGCGGGGATGACGGCTAACGTGCTGGGCATGGCTCGGCCACCCTCCGACCAGATCGGAAATGCGTCCCGCGGGGGATACAAAAAAAGGACGCTCGCAAGAGCGTCCCTTGTCGCTGATATAGAAGCGACCCCGACGGGGATCGAACCCGCAACCTCCGGATCGACAGTCCGGTGCTCTAACCAATTGAGCTACAGGGCCTTGCTGCTGAGGAACAAGTCCCCTCAAGCAAGAACGGTAGTTTAGCTAGCCGCCCCGCCAAGCGTCAACCGCTGTTGGGCGGGGGAACCACATTCGGTCGGGAGGGCGTCGGCGCAACCGCTCCCGCCCCCATATTCCGCGCTGGGAAGGCTGCGGGCCTCCACTTTCGGGTCCCTGGGATCACCCCGCAAGTTGACTTCTGTTGGCCAGATTTTCTACCATCAGTCCTGGGCGAGACACCCTCTCCCCAGATTCTGGCTCTGGCCGCGAGCGGCCTTCGGCCCGCCATGGCGGCGATCCGGGCTGCTCGCCTTGCATGAAGGAGTTCTGCCATGCCTCTCTTTGAGATCGAGACCGACAACCACATCATCATCAGCTGGGCCAACGACGCCGACGAGGCGAGTGGTGTCGTAGCTGACGCGTACCCTCAGGAAAGCGTCAAGCGTCTCACCAAACGGCCCCGTGACACGTGGGTGATCTCAAAGAGCGCCTTGGGCATTCAGAGCCCGGTCGACCCCTGCAACACCGCCCGCGATTGCCTCTCGAAGGCCGAGGGGGACAAAGTCCACGCCATCCGCCTCTACATGCACGAGACCGGCGTCGATTTGGAGCAGGCCCGTAAAGTAATCGAGTCGAACATGGTGATGGGCTGGTAGTCCTTCGCCGGCATTCCGGATATTGGGGTCCGCAGCCTATTCGCGGGACGTCCTAGTACCGATACGCCTCGGTCGACGGGTAGGCCGGCGGCGTGGACGGGGCCGCACCCATGGGAGTGGTGGTCGGAGCCGCCGGCGCCGGAGTCGTGGACGGCGGAGCCGTACGCAGCGCCACACTGACCTGCGGGTCGTAGCTAGACGTTCCACCGGGGCGGTAGCCGCCAGGCGCGTTGCTGACCGGCACGCTCTGGTTGACGACCTGATTGACCGTCGGCGGAGCGGATGCGGCCAGCGGGGCTGAGGCGACCGTCGGGGCCGGGGCTGAGGCCGGCGTCAGACCTGGCAGCGGCGACGACGTCGCTGCGTAGCGACCGCCTGCGCTCGGCGCCGGGTTAGACTCTGCGCTGACGGGTGGCATGCCGGCCAAGGGCAGCGACTCGGTTTCCGCGTAGCGGGCGTCGCCGTACCGGTCGGCGGGCGCCGCAGCGACCGTCGGGGCCGGGGGCGTGTAACCATTTGGGTCGTACGGTCCCGCTGCAGGAGTCGAAGCGGCGGCGGGCGTTGTGGGCGGCGGCACAGCAGCGTAGCTGTTGGTTGTCGGGTACGCGGGCGGCGTCGTCACGGGGGGAGTGGCAGCAGACGGCGGTGCGGTGGCCACGCTCGTGCTTGGGTAGCCGGCACTGGGCGCGGCAGACGCAGGTTGGGCCGCGGACGCCGGCTTGAACGCCGGCGCTTCTTGGCCGGCCGTCGCGGCGCTCGCGACAGCGGCGGCTCCACCCGGGTTGCTGGCCTGAGCCGTCGGCAGCTCTGGTGCGGTCCGGGCCGCGATGGAGGTTTCTTGGTCCCCGCTGGACCATGGGTTCATTGAGGCCCAGCGAGAGGAGCTGCGACAACCAGTGGTTACTGCAGTCAGAAGGATCAGCAACGCGGCGTGCCGCTGTAGATTCGCTGGGAAAGCTCGCATGGCATCCGTGCCTGGGAGTTTGTTGTCGTAAACGTCGCGGCGATCGGAACGACCGAAGTCCTACAACCGTATTTTTTATTCTTCGGCTCACGCCGGGTTGGTCGTCCAGCCGGATCAGCACGCTTTGTGAAACGCAAGCACTGCTAGTGATCCGGTTCAGCCGATCGCGGCGGAGTATAGAGACCCCCCTCAACGCGTCAACGCCGATTTGTCGCCGCGGCCCCTCCCTGCAATTGCGGGCAGAAAAAAGCCCCGCGGCAAACGCCGCGGGGCCTGAGTGCTTCTAGATCAGAACGGGGCCGAGCCCCGCCGGCGCCATTAGCCCTTGGCAGCGGCGTAGCGATCCGCGACAGCCGACCAATCGACCACATTGAAAAATGCTTCGATGTAGTCGGGCCGGCGGTTCTGGTAGTGGAGGTAGTAGGCGTGCTCCCACACGTCCAAGCCGACAACTGGCGTGCGGCCTTCCATGTAGGGGTTGTCCTGATTGGGTGTGCTTTCAATGACCAGCTTGCCACCGTCAACGCTCAACCAGGCCCAGCCGCTGCCAAAACGGGTGGCCGCGGCGTTGGAAAAGTCCTCCTTGAACTTCTCAAACCCGCCAAGCTCCGAGTCGATTGCGGCCGCTAAGTCCCCGCTGGGGGCGCCGCCACCCGATCCGCTCATCACGGTCCAGAACAGCGAGTGGTTAGCGTGGCCACCGCCGTTGTTGCGGACGGCGCCGCGAATGGTCTCCGGGACCGACGCGATGTTGCGGCACAGGTCCTCGATCGACTGCTCCGCCACACCCGAACCCTCAAGCGCCGCGTTCACCTTCGTGACATAGGCGTTATGGTGCTTGGTGTGGTGGATCTCCATGGTCCGCGCGTCGATGTGCGGCTCTAGGGCGTCGTAGGCGTAGGGAAGTTCCGGCAGCGAATAAGCCATGGGGTGCTCCTGTATGTTCAGTTGCGGCGGGTTAGCCCGCGTAAGGTGTGCAGCAACAACCGCGCCAAACTGGGGTAAGGCGGTCTACGCCGCAGGTTAACGCGCTAACGGTTGGCTGGCAATCCGGTGGGGAGCACCTCAGGGATACCCCCGCCCGGCGGCGTCTGCGTGCCGGGCGGGGGGACGCTCATTGCCCGCGGCGCTGCTGGAGTTGCTTGACGGCTCGGCTCAATTCGGAGTCCAGGCCGGCCTCGACGGCGATTTTGGTAGCCAGGGCAGAGAGGCGTTGCACGTTTTCCTCCGACAGGTCGCCGACAACGTTCGCCATCACCAGTTCGCGGCCGTCTTGGGCGAGCACGAACACGCCTCGCACCGCCTCACCCTGGCGTTGTAGGAAGATGTGAGCACGCTTGTCGCCATCGCGGGCCCGCACGGCTGTCTCCCATCCCTGCTGAGCGAGCTGAGCGCTGACTTGTTCGGTCAGTTGCGCGGCGGAGTCACCCATCTCGTGTGCGTTTTTCCAGACATTCAGGTGGACGCCCTGCACTACCTCACCGAGCACTTCGGTGAGTTCTCGGGTGGACCCGATCTGCTCGGCGATGTACCGCACCGCTTCGGCGTTTTCGCTCGCCGCGTTCTCCTGCAGCCCGTCGATGAAGCCCGACAATACGGCCTCGGCAAGGCCCAGGGACTGATGGATGAGCCCCTCGCTCAGGTTGACCTCGACGGTGGGCGCCGGCAGGTCGACCAGGTCAATACGCGCCACTCCCGGTCGAGGCGCAGAACTTTCCTGCGCTGAAGCCACCTGCGAGAACGCCGCAGCCGCCATGATCCCGAGGATTCCGCCGATGCGCCGCACGCTTGTCGGCGCCGTAATTCCACACCACATAGCTGATCTCCCTGCGAATTGAATCGACTTGTCCTTGGTGGCGGCCGGTGGCCGCCTACAAGGTATTTCGCTGGAGACACAATCAGATTTGGGTACGGGAATGAGAAAGCACGAAAAAAAGACCGCCGGGTTGCCCCGGCGGTCTGGTGTGCTGGGTTGGGAGGTGCAGCTACTCCGACGCGTCAAGCAGGTTGAGTAGTCGCGTCAGCTCCGCGCGCTGCTCGTCAATCTGCTTTAGCTGCGCCGCAATCTGCTGCACCGTATCCTTGGTCGCGTCAGGATTCGCGGTGGGCGAGTGGTTGCGGTCGGTTCGCCGGGGAGCAGGCTCGTACTTAGCGAAGGCCTCGTCGAGAGCGCCCCCCTCCGAGCGGTGGATCTTCTCGACCGCGCGGCGGGCGTGCTGCAACGCCTGGCCGCGAGGGCCAGAGGGGAGCTTCATCTCTTGGAGTTCACGGTTCATGGCGGGGTTTAGGTGGATGGGGTGGGGGCGGCGTCCGCCTCGCGGGCCATCAGGTAGGACCGGAGGCTTCCTAGGAGCTTGCGGGCCCGCTCGGTCGCGTAGCCGCGGCGGCGGTCTCGTTCGTGTCGGGGGCGGATTGTCACCGCGGCGGTGGTCTGGGAGTAGGTTCCTTTGGCCATGCCCGCGGCGTTCTCGCGTTCGATAAACTCCTCGGCCAGCTTGAGGTCGAGGATAAAGCCTACCGGGCGGTCATTGGCGCGGCGCAGGGCTCCCGCATCAGAGCACTCGATGCGGATCTCGTGCTCAGCGGTCTTAAGGATCTTGGCGTTGTGGTCGGCGATGAAACCTTTCAGCTTTTCCACCGCGACCTCAATCGGGACGTTCGTGACGAGGGTCGTCTCGACTAGGGACTTGCCCCACGAGCCGAATCCCCACCAACTCTTCTTGGGTTCTTCTTCTTCCATCCCAGCCCCCAGCTGAACGACCTGATTGCGCCCTTGATCCTTGGCCTGCAGCAGAGCCCGGTCGGAGCGTCTGAGCAGCGTTTCGGGTGTGTCGCCTGATTGCAGCTCGGACACACCGAAGCTGGCGGTGATCGACTTGCCACCGAGTTCCGTTTGGTTGGTTTCTGACAGCGTCCTACGCATCTGCTCGGCCCGCATCGCGGCGGTGGCGTTGTTGCAGTCGGCGCACAACACGGCGAATTCTTCTCCGCCGTACCGAGCGACCAGGTCGCCCGTCCGGCACATGGACTTGAGCAGCGAGGCGAACGTGATGATGGCCTCGTCGCCGGCCTGGTGGCCGTAGGTGTCGTTGATTGCTTTGAAGTGATCGATGTCCGCCATGATCAGGCTGCAAGGCAGACCTGTTTCTTGGTGGGCGTCAACGAACATGGCCAGGGCCCGATCAAACTCGGCCCGGTTCGCAACCTGAGTCATCGGGTCCTTAGTCATCTCGACGTGCAAGGCCTGGCACCGCTGCTCGAGCGAGGCTTCGCTTGAGGCATCGTGCAGCAGGACCGTGGCCCCCATCACGCCCTGGCTCGGCGAGCAGACCGGGATAGAGTGCAGGTCGACCTCTACGTGCTTGCCCTTCCGACCGATCACACTGAGCCGCTGAACGTTGGGGGCGCCTGTATTGATGGCGGCGCCGATGGGGCATTCTTCGTCGTTGAGCATGCGGCCGTCTGGGGCGCTCATCACCAGCAGCGACGGCACCAGTGTCTGGCCAACCGCCGCCGAGCTCGCGACCCCGGTCAGCCGCTCGGCGCCCGTGTTCCAAAGGATGATCTGCCGGTGCGGGTTCACAAACACCACGCCGTCGTGCATGTGATCGATCAGCTCCTTCTCGAACATCGCCTCTTCGTTGGGCGACTGGCCCGAATTCGCTTGGGAGTGCTGTGTGAACTCCCAGGGCAGCTCGCCAACCTCCGTGGAGAGCTGAGATAGCCAGCGTTTGGAGACCTCCGTCGAGCGCTCGGCGTGGTTCTTGCCGAGTTGATCGACAAAGCTGCGGACCAGGTCAGGGTCGAACTGGGTGCCGGCGCATGCGAACAGCTCGGCCACCGCCCGCTCCTGTGACTTTGCAGGACGGTAGACGTGATCCGTCGTCATAGAGTCGTAGGCGTCGACGATTGACAGGATCCGGGCGAGTGCAGGAATGTTTGCTCCGGCAAGCGCATCGGGACCGCGGCTGCCGTCGAACCATGCGTTCGAGGCGATCACCACCTCAATCAGCTTTTCGGGGGCCCCTGCGCGGCTGAGGATCACCTGCGCGTGCCGCGGGCTACGACTGAGGGCGGAAACGTCCTCGGGTTGGAGTCGCCCCTGTTTCATCAGCACGGAATCGGGCACGCCCAGCTTGCCGATGTCGTGCAGCAGCGCGGCCAGCTCCAGCTGAGTGCGGAGCGCGTCGGGCATCTCTAAGGCCGCGGCCCAGCGGCTGCAGCCGAGCGCTACCCGCAAGCAGTGCGAGGCGGTTGGTGGGTGCTTGCACCGCAGGCCCGTGAACAGGGAGCTGGCCATTCCCAGCCGGGCGGCCGCCAACCGATCCTCGAATTCCGTCGTTTTAGGGTCTGGCTCCGCGGACGCGTTGCCACTGCGGCGTGCGGTCTCCTCCAGCGTTTGGAGCAGCACGGGGATCCGCGACGGGTCGGTGGTCTTCGGGCCGAAGGGCGCCGACGCAGTTGGCATCGGATCCACAGGGCTGGGCAGGGTTTCTGACATCTCGCCGGCGCGGGCATATGGTTCTTGCGGACGCTTCTCGGCAAAGCTAGGTCACGCTGGGCGGCTCGGCAAACCACTCGCTGGGAACGAGTCGGCCCGCTACGGTTGGGCGCGACCCAGGCGGTGCAACCGCTAGCAGTTGGCGTTTGCCCTCCTTGCCCAACCCGAAATATGCGTTCACCGACTGAAAACCCAGGGCCGCGTGTGCCGATCCGAAAGGTTGGAGCGAATGACCGGACCGTGGCTGGGATTGCCACGCTTGTCTCTGCAAATTCAACTGCCCGCTTCCTGGCGGGGTTAGGCGAGGGAACGCTGATGGCTGCTGGTGCAAGAGATGATCGTCGACGACGGATGCTCAGTGATGGAGCCCGATCTGCCGGCAACGCTGCGGACGGGACCACCGGATCGGACCCGGTGGATTCGACGCCTCACAAGAAACGCCGCTTCTCGCCGGACGCGGCGAGTCCAAGTTTTGCGGTCGCCCGGGGTGTCCTGCCGACTACCGGCGGATCATTGGCGGCTACGGTGGCGGCGGGGCTCGCTGCCGGCGGCGGCGTGCTGGCGGGACACTACTTCCATTCCAGCCTGCCCGCGGCACTCTCGGGACCGTTGAACCTGGCGTCGACGTCGTCGCTGGGGGGGTGGTTGGCCGGGACGCTGACGCTCGTGGCGGCCGGGCTCTGCGGGGTTATCTTCGGTCTGCGTTCCAACCGGACAGACGACGTACGCGGGTTGTACCGATGGTGGGCGGCCGCTGCGTGCGCGCTGATCGCAGTAAGCGCCCTCTACGCGGTCGGCGCTGGCCCACTCGTCGCCCAGCAGCTCAGCTCCGCGACCGGGTTCGCCCCCTTGGGAGGCGCAGGGTGGTGGATGGCGGCGTTAGTCTTGGGGGCAGCGGGCCTGGGGTTCCGCCCGGTCGCGGATTTGGCGGAAAGCCGGCTCTCACTTTCCTTGGCCGTGCTCGGCGCGCTCGGAATCGTGGCCTCGTGGAGCAGCGCTTCCCGGGCCCTGCCCGCCGGGGTATCTGAGCACGCCCAGCTCATAGAGTTTGGTGGGCTCTTGATTGGCCTCGTGTTCGGCATTGGGGCCCAGCTGGCCTATGTCCGCCGCGTACTGCTCGAAACCGACGGCGTGATCGCCGCTCCGGTGAAAAAGCAGAAATCCGCCAAGCCAGCCGCGCCTTCGGAAGCCGCGACCGAGACGCAGAAGCCTTCCATGAAGGCGGCCTCGGAACCAGCGCCCAAGACGGTCAAGTTTGAGAAGCCAGAATTGTCAGCCGCGGAGGTGGTGGATGATGGGGCCTCCAGTTCGCGGGCGGATCGCCGGGCTGCTCGCCGAAAGCAGGACCCTGCCGCCGAGAGTGAGTCACGCTGGACTGACGGCTCGGAGGGGGATGTCGACTACGAGGATGACGCTCCCCGCCGCAAACTCTCGAAGGCAGAACGCAAGCGGATCCGCAAGCAGAAGGCAGGCGAACGCTACGCGGCATAGCTGGAATGGCTTAGAATCACGCCCTTGCAACCGCACCGCGTAGGCCCGCTACCGCTATGACCATCCGCACCCGTTTTGCGCCCAGCCCCACCGGCTACCTCCACATCGGCGGCGTCCGCACCGCACTCTTTAATTGGCTGTTCGCCCGCAAGCACGGTGGGCAGTTCTTGCTGCGGATTGACGACACCGACCAGCAACGAAATGTCGAGGAAGCGCTTGCGCCAATTCTAGACGGATTCCGCTGGCTGGGCCTCGACTGGGACGAGGGGCCGGAGGCGGGCGGTAATTGCGGGCCGTACTACCAGTCGCAGCGTGGCGATCGTTATCAGGCCGCGGCGGACCAGCTGCTCGCCCAAGGCGACGCCTACCGTGATTACGCTACGCCTGATGAGCTGCAGGCCGAGCGCGAAGCTGCCCAGCAGGCCGGCGGCTCGTTTACCTATAGCCGCAAGTGGATGGCCGAGACTGAGGAGCAGGCCGCCGCCTTTGAGGCCGACGGGCGCCAGGGCGTGGTGCGTCTGAAGATGCCACGCGAGGGCGAGCTGGTGCTGGACGACCTGGTGCGCGGCGAGGTCCGCTTCGCCTGGGCTCGTGAGCAGGACCACGTGATCCAGCGGGCGGACGGGTCGTGTCTGTACCATCTGGCGACCGTGGTCGACGATCATCAGATGAAGATCTCGCACGTGATCCGCGCGGAAGAGCACCTGTCGAACACCCCCCGCCAGGCGTTTATTGCCGAGCGGCTCGGCTACGAGCTGCCGCAGTTTGCCCACCTGCCGTTCGTCGCCGAGCCGGGCAGCAAAACCAAGCTCAGCAAACGTAAGCTGGACAAGTACCTTAAGAACCGAGACTTCGCGGCACTCAACCAGCACGGTCAGCACGTCGCGGAGCTGCTCGGCCTTGAGACCGCGGCCGAGACGTTCAACCCGGTGATTGTCGACTTCTACGAGCAGGTGGGCTACCTGCCCGACGCGATCCTCAACTACCTGCTCTTGCTCGGGTGGTCGCTCGACGACTCACGCGAAGAATTCACGCGTGAAGAGATGGTCGCCTGCTTCGACCTGGCGGGGGTGAACAAGGCTCCGGCGAGCTTTGACCCCAGCAAGCTGCAGGCGTTTCAGGATCGGGCCATGCAGCGACTGCCGCTGAAGCAGAAGGCCGCTTGGTGTGTCGACTTCCTCAAGCGGGCCGGCTACCTCGAGAGCCCGGTCCCCTGCGAAGCTGGGCCCTACGTCACCGCAATCGTCGACGCCGCTGGCGACCGGATTAAGACGGCCGGCGACATTCTTGACTACCAAGAGTTCTTTGTTTCCGACGATCGTTTGCAGTACGACGACAAAGCCTTCACCAAGCGGATCGCCAAACCGGCGGACGCGGCCGACTTGTTGCAGAAGTTCGCCGCGAGTCTGGCTCAGCTCGAACCATACACGGTCGAGTCAACCGAAGCCTGCTTGCAGGCATTCCTTGAGGCCGAGGGCGTCAAGATCGGGCAGGTCATCCACGCGATCCGCGTGGCCGTAACCGGCAAGGCGGTGGGGTTTGGCGTCTATGAGACGTTGGCCATCCTGGGCCGAGAGCGGTGCGTGGCGAGAATCGAGCGGGCCCTGTCGCTGGTGGGATAACGCGAAGGTTCAGGTAGGCGAGTTCGCCCCATCCTCCAAATCAACCGAGGGGCTTCTTCCAGAATAACATCGCACCGGGGGGCGTCGCGGAATCGCCTCCGCGGAAGCCGCAACTCCGGTACAGACCCTTGGCCTGCTCGTTGTCCGCGACCACTTCCAGCGTCATGTAGCAGCAGCCTCGACGGCGGGCTTCCGCCTCGCTCGCTTCCATCAGTTTCCTGCCTATTCCCTGCCCGCGGCGGCCCGGGGCCACGACAACGTCGTGGAGGTTGAGCACGGGCTTGGCGGCGAAAGTGCTGAAAGACAGGCAGCAAACTGCTAAGCCGACGGGGTCGGCGCCGTCGATGGCCATGAGAACGCAGGCGTGGGGGGCAGCCTCGAGCATGTCGCAGACGCTCTGGCGGGCATCGTCCGTCATTCCGGTCCCACTCCCCTGGGGGGTGTCCGCGTACGATTCCAGCAGGGCGACCAGGCCCCCTCGATGTGCGGGGGACCGGTAGTTGATTGGCATGACTTCGACAGACACGGGACCTCAATAGCGTTAACGGCTGCGATCGTTTTTCGCCGTATTCTAGCAGCGTGGCTCCCCTCGATTGGGCCCGGTCCAAGTTTCAGCAGATTCTTGCCCTCTAGATCCCCAGGCATTGACAGCTTTGCGGCCACACCGCTAGTCTATGGGGCTTCGATGACCTCCCGATACCAAGCAGAGGCTGCCCGAGGAATGGGTGGCTCTGAAACTGGGCTCATTCAGATTAAGTAAAAGGCGCCGGAAATGGCTGTCCCGAAGAGAAAGCACTCCAACTCACGCAGCGGCAAACGCCGCAGTCACGACGCCCTGCAGGCTCGGCAGCTCCACGCGTGCCCCAAGTGCGGAACGATGATTCCCACGCACACGGTCTGCCCGAACCCCAACTGTGGCCATTACATGGGTCGCACGGTTGTCGAGGCAAGCTAACCCTAGCCGGCGCGGCAGGCCGCGTTGATCACTCCTAGCTAAGCATCTCATGAGCTCTCGAACCGCCCTGCTCTTCCCCGGCCAAGGCGCTCAGACCGTGGGCATGGCCGCTGAGCTGTGCGAGCGCTCGATCGTGGCCCGCGAGCAGTTTGAGGCCGCGGCGCAAATTCTTGGCTACGATCTGCTAAAGCTCTGCGTTAATGGTCCGGCCGAGGACCTCGATTCGACCGCCTACAGCCAGCCGGCCCTGTACGTTAGCAGCCTGGCGGCTTTGGAGCAGTTGCGGCTCGACGATCCCTCTGTGGTGGACAACTGCGTGGTGACCGCGGGGCTGAGCCTTGGCGAGTACACCGCGTTGGCGTTCGCCGGCGCAATCTCGTTCGAGGACGGCCTGCGGGTCGTGGCCGAGCGTGGCGCCGCGATGCAAGACGCCGCGGAGGCCACCCCCTCGGGCATGGTTAGCGTGCTCGGTCTCGAGGTGCTCCAAATTGCCGAACTTGTTGACCAAGCCCGCGGCGATGACATTCTGGAGATCGCGAACCTCCTGTGCCCAGGCAACACGGTCGTGTCTGGCGGCACCGCCGCGTGCGAGCGGGTTGCCGAGCTCGCCGACAAAGCCGGTGCGATGCGGGTTGTGCCGCTGGCTGTGGCGGGTGCGTTTCATACCAATCTAATGAAGCCGGCTGTCGATCGTCTGCAGGCCAAGCTGGCGGATGTCACGATATCCGCCCCGCAGATCCCGGTGATCTGCAACGTCGACGCCGACGTGCATGAAGACCCTGAAGAGATCCGCGCCCTGCTGGTAAAGCAGGTGGTCAGCCCGGTCCGCTGGGAAGACTCGATGCGACGCATGATCGACGACATCGGCGTCGACACGGTGTACGAAGTCGGCCCCGGGCGCGTGCTTCGGGGGTTGCTGAAGCGGATCAAGCGAAAGCTGCCTTGCGAGAGCGTGCCCGCCTAGCGGCGGGCGACCCCCAGGCGCCGTCCTCAAGAGCCAAAGTACCTGCCAGGAGCCGCGATGGCTGAACCGAGTAAAGCACATGTGTCCGCGGACTTGTCCGGGAGGGTCGCGTTGGTGACCGGCGCCTCGCGCGGCATCGGCCGGGCCATCGCTCTGCGTTTGGGGCAGGCCGGCGCCACGGTGGCGTGCGTTGCGAGGAACCTCGAGAAGCTGGAGGAGATCGCTCAGGCGGTGCGCGACGCCGGCGGGAACGCCAGCGTGCACCAGTGTGACGTCTGCGACTCCGCCCAGGTGCAGCAGACCGTCGACGCCGTGCAAGAAAAATGGGGCGGCATCGACATCCTGGTCAACAACGCCGGCATCACCCGTGACACGCTGCTGCTCCGCATGTCGGACGACGACTGGGGCGATGTCATCTCGTCGAATCTTCGGTCGGTGTTTCTGTTCACCCGGGCCGCGGCCCAGGTGATGGTGCGGGCGAAGCGTGGACGCATCATCAACATCTCGAGCATCTCCGGATTGATGGGCAATCCCGGGCAGGCAAACTATTCGGCCTCAAAGGCGGGTGTGATCGGCTTCACCCAGACCGTGGCGAAAGAATTGGGCAGCAAGCGCCGCCCCATCACCGTCAACGCCATCTGCCCCGGCTTCATCCGCTCCGACATGACTGACATCCTCGCCGAGGCGGGCGGCGACACCTTTCACGATGTCGTGAAGCAGCGGATCCCGCTCCAGCGGCTCGGCGAGCCGGAGGAAGTCGCCGATGCGGCGCTGTTCCTGGCAAGCGACTCGGCCGCGTACATCACGGGCCAGGTTCTCACGATTGACGGGGGCATGACCGGCTAGCCCAGGGCGCCAACCCTCCGCTCTGGCTTCGCGAGTCGACCTAGACAGCCCCAATCCAAACAGCTATATCTTGACCTCGCTTGCGGAACTCCTCTATTTTGAGGGGTCAACCACCCCTCGGAGTCTGCAGGCTAAACTTTCTACCAATTCATTTCCGGACCTCGGCCGGGGGCAGCGTCGATCGCTCCTGGTGGTGGGCGGCAGGTCCTTCCGCTGGGCCCCGCCCTGACGCCACGGCAGCCGGTCCGATCAGAAGCGTCCCGCAAGCGGATTCAAGGAGAAACAGTAGTGGCCTCGGTATTGGAACGCGTCACGGACATCGTGGCAGAGCAGCTCGGTGTCGACAAAGAAAAGATCACCGCTGAGACGTCGTTTGTGAACGACCTCGGCGCCGACTCGCTCGACACGGTCGAGCTGGTGATGGAACTCGAAGAGGAGTTCGACATCAATATCCCCGACGACGCCGCGGAGAAGATTCAGACCGTTGGCCAGGCGGTGGAGTTCATCGAGGCAAACTCGGGAAGCTGAGCCTGCGCAACGCAGGCGGGGCGGCGTCCGCGACAGGACGCCCGCCCTCGGTTCCGGGTTATGCCGGCGCGTGCTACGGCGCTGGGCCTCACAGCCCGGCGCCCTTTTTATTGGCCCCAAGCGTGAGCAGACGCGGGCGCCATCCTCCGCTCTTTCCTCCGACACTAGACAGCGGACGACTGCTATGAAACGGCGTGTGGTAGTAACCGGAATGGGCGCGGTGACCGTCCTGGGCTGCAAGGTAGACGAGCTCTGGGCCAACATCCTGGCTGGCAAGAGCGGCATCCACGAGCTCAAGGCCTTTGACACGACGCGTCACAAGGTCAAGTTTGGCGGCGACATACACGACTGGGATCCGTCGGGGTACATCTCCTCGAAGGAGGCCAAGCGTATCGATCGGTTCACGCAGTTCGCCCACGTCGCGGCTGTGGATGCGGTCTCGCAGTCCGGCTTGGACTTTTCTCAGGAGGAGCCCCGTCGGTGCGGCGTGATCATCGGTTCTGGCGTCGGCGGGCTGACCGAGATCGAGGCTCAGCAGACCCGTTTGATCCTCAAGGGTCCGGATAAGGTCTCGGCGTTTACCATTCCCAAGCTAATGGTCAACGCGGCGTCTGGGCACGTCTCGATTCACTTCGGCCTCAAGGGTGTGAACGTGGCGGTCGCGACCGCCTGTGCGAGCGCCACCAACGCCATGGGCGACGCCTTCCGTGCAATTCAGTACGACGACGCCGATGTGGTGATAACCGGCGGCAGCGAGGCGGCCTGCACCGAGATGGGCCTTGCCGGATTCGCTAATATGCGGGCCCTTTCGGAGCGTGGGGACGACCCGCAGGGCGCCAGCCGGCCCTTTGACGCTGATCGCGATGGTTTTGTGCTGGCCGAGGGCGCCGGCGTGCTGGTGTTCGAGGAGTACGAGCACGCCAAGGCGCGCAACGCGCCGATCTTCGCTGAGATCGTCGGGTACGGGGCCAGCGGAGACGGCGGCCACATCACGCAGCCGGACCCGAACGGTTCCGGCGGCGCATGGGCCATGACCTGCGCCATGCGGGACGCGAAGCTCAACCCCGAGGACGTGGACTACATCAACGCCCACGGCACCAGCACCCCGTTGGGCGACAAGGCCGAAACGATGGGCATCAAGTCTGTGTTCGGCGACCACGCCTACAAGCTCAACGTGTCGAGCACCAAGAGTGAGCTCGGCCACTTGCTGGGCGCCAGCGGCGGGGTCGAGCTGATCCTCAGCATCAAGGGACTGCAGGACGGAGTCTGTCCTCCCACGATCAACCTGCAGACGCCCGATCCGGCCTGCGACCTCAACTACACGCCGAACGAACCTCAGCAGCGCGACGTGAAGGTGGTGATGAGCAACAGCTTCGGGTTCGGCGGCCACAACGGCTCGATCATTGCCGCCAAGGTCTAGCCGCGGCTGGGGGGTGCGGATTTTCGCGTCGGCCGGCCGAAAACTTGCAAAGCAGGACGCGTCCGTCTAGCCTCGATGAGAGTAGCGGGCGTCACAGACCGCCATCGCGATCTAGAGCGGTACGACATCATGACTCGGTTCCGGCCGGCGGGCCCCCTTCTCCTCTTGTTGGTCAGCACGCTGCCCTTGCAGCCTTGCGCCGGGGTTACCCTGCGCATTGACTACAGTCAAGACAGTTCCGGGTTCTTTAGTAACTCGAGTACCCAAGGCCGACAGGCACGCGCCGTCCTCGACTCGGCGGCCAGCTTCTACAGCAATCTTCTCGAGGACTCATTGTCGCCGGTCTCGGTGCCGGGGCGGTTCTACGGGGTCGGCGGCGGGACGGCGAACTTCTACCTGCAGTTCGCCGACCCCAACTTTCCGCACGACTCGACTCGCGCCGTCAGCCTAGGCAGCTACCCGATCGCTCAAGACGAGTACATCGTGTTCGTCGGCGGGGCGCCCCTCGGAGGATCTCAGCTTGCCAGTGCGGGGCTGGGAGGATCAAGCTACGACTACCAGCTGTTCGTCGAGGAAGACATCCCCAAGGTTGAGCAAATCTACGCCAACTTTGTGGCGGGGTACGAAACACGCGGTCAGTCGAGCGGGTTCGCCCACTGGGGCGGGACCATCTCATTTGACAACGACGGCGGCGTCAATTGGAGCTACACCGTCGGGACGCCGCCGGGACCGGGGCAGACGGACCTCTACTCCGTGGCGCTCCACGAACTGGGCCACGTGCTGGGCTTCGGGAGCACAACGCTGCAAGAGGAGGGGCTGGTGGACGGCGCCAATCGATTCAGCGGCGCCGCTGCGGTGGCGGAATACGGAGGGCCGGTTCCGCTCAGTCCGGGCGGTGGTCACTGGGCGGAGCAGACAATGTCCACGGTGCTGGGGACCGGCGCCGCTCAGGAGGCGCTCTACGATCCAAGTTTCAACGGTTCGGTGCGCAAAGACCTCACCGCCCTCGACGCGGCTGGGTTGGCAGACCTGGGATGGAGCATCGCGCTGCCTCAGTCAATCGCCGGCGACTTCAATGGCGACGGCCTGGTTGACTCCGCGGACTACACCGTCTGGCGAGACGGCATCGGTTCACGGTTCACCGCGTCGGACTACGACACTTGGCGCCAGCACTACTCGGAGGGCGGCGCCGCGTCCCCTGTTAATTTTACGGCCCCTGCCCCCTCCGCTTCGCTGATCTTGCTTTCGCTGACAGCACTCATGGCCGGAGCAAGGACGTGCGGCGCATTCGCCTTGCGTCGCTGACGCAGTAGCGCGTACTATCCCGCCCCCAGTGGGCCGAGCACGGCTCCGAAGTCTCTGGTGGAAGCGTCCGCCCGATCGACGGGAGTACCCCCTCAAATGCGAAGCTTTCGACACGCCGCGTTCCTCTGCAGCCTCACCATCGTGTCGGCCGCGTTTGCCCAGCAGCAGGACTGGTCGGCGCCGCCTGCCGATGCACGCTATGGCGCCCAGGCGAACGGCGGGGGAGCAGCTCCTGCTGCCGGGGACTCTCGATACAACCAGCCGGCGGCGCTGCCGACGGGTGCGCCGGCGCCTGACAACAGCATCACGCCGCTTCCCGGGGCCACTCCCCCAGCAGCGGGAGCCGCGGCGCCCGGAGGTGGCATGACGCCGCTAGGCGGCGCAGGCCCGAGCCGCGCACGCGTGACTAAGGGCGCGGCCTCGCTTCCCAATGATCACGGCCAAGTGATGCGGGAATACGACATTCGCCCGTACACGCTGCGGGCCGCCAACACACCGCACCCCCAACAAACCATAGTTGACTGGGTTCTGCGAGAAACCGGGTACGAGACCTGGCACTCCGAGCCGCTGGGCATCCTCAGCGCTACTCGCGAGTCGCTCCGCGTTTACCACACGCCCGAGACCCAGGCCATTGTGGCGGATATCGTCGACCGCTTCGTAAACACCCAGCACGAATCCCAAGCGTTTGCTCTGCGGATCGCCACGGTCCGCAACCCCAACTGGCGGGCCAGCGCAATGCCGCTGATGACCGCCATCCCGGTGCAGTCGCCCGGCATGCAGGGGTGGATCCTTCCCAAGGAGAACGCGGCCCTGCTCATGGCGGACCTTGTGCGTCGGTCCGACTACCGCGAGCACAGCGCCTCGGGACAGCTCGTGCTGAACGGCCGCGCCGCTGTCATGTCCACGATGCGTCCCCGGCAGTACATCAAGGGCATTGTACGGACCCAAAACACTTGGCCCGGCTTTCAGCCGGAAACCGGCGCCCTCGAGGAGGGGGCCAGCATGGAGTTTGCGCCGCTGCTCTCGTTCGACGGCGCCACGGCAGACGCGATCCTTAAGCTTCGGGTCAACCAGGTAGAGAAGATGCAGCAGGTGCGGCTCGACATCCCAACCCAGATGGCCGGCCCTCAACGGATGGAGATTGAGGTTCCGCAGCTGACCTCGGCCACGATCCACGAGCGATTCCGTTGGCCCGCCGACCATGTCTTGCTGCTGAGTTTGGGGGTCATAGCACCGCCCACGCCCGATAAGGGCAACCAGTTTCTCAACATGATCCCAGGCGTCAACGCCCCGCCGCGCGCCGACGGCCTACTATTTGTTGAGGTTAAAGGCACCGCCACGCCGAGCTCGAGCCCCGGTGCTGTCCCGGCTACTGCCCAGCGTTCTACGGGTGGATTTAACGGTAGATACTAATCGGCCGAGCGCTATACTGATGGACCCTCCCCGGATTATGCCGCCCTCGGCGATTTGGTAAGCTGCGTAGACTATGAGCACTCTCTCTCCTGCCCGCCGCGTGGTGATCACGGGCATTGGCCTGATCAGCCCTTCTGGATGCTCGCCGGACGAGCTTTGGGGCAACCTGTCCGCCGGCCGCAGCGCCGTCGGGCCAGCAACGCTCGTGCCTGGTTCGGCTGGGCCGATGAAGATTGCCGCCGAGGCGAACGCATTCACTGGGGCGATTGACGACTTCGGCGAGCTGGAGGGCAAGCTCAAGAAGTCGATCCGCAAAGCCATCAAGATGATGTGCCGCGAAACGCAAATGGCGGTGGCCGCCGCACAGCTTTCGCTGGCTGATGCGGGGATTGCGGAATCGGACCTCCTGCCGGAGGCGTCCGGCGTCGTTCTCGGCAGCGACTACATGTTGACCATGCCAGAAGACTATGTGCGTGCGGTCGCCAAGTGCGCCGAGGAAAACGAGTTTAATTACAAACGTTGGGGTGACGAAGGGCTGGCCGAGATTGAACCCCTGTGGATGCTGCGCTACCTACCCAACATGCCCGCCAGCCACATCGCAATCTTTAACGACTTTCGCGGCCCCAACAACTCCCTCACGATGCGCGAGGCGGCCGGATTGATGGCGGTCGGCGAAGCCTATCGGATTATTTCTCGGGGCGCCGCTAGCCGCATGATCGCCGGCGCCACAGGAACCCGGCTGATGCCGATGCAGGCGATCCACTCAATGCAGATCGAGCAGCTGGCTCCGGCCGGGGACGACCCCACCAAAGCCTGTCGCCCCTTCGACAAGGATCGGCAGGGAATGGTCGCCGGCGAGGGCGCTGCGACAATTGTCCTTGAGTCGCTCGAGGCCGCCGAGGCTCGCGGGGCCAATATATATGCGGAGCTGACGGGATTCGGCTCCAGCCAAGTGACGGACCCTCAGCTCAACGGCAAGACGGACGCCGCTCTGGAGAATTCGATGCGTGCGGCGCTCGCCGACGCGGAGTTGACGCCGGAAAGCGTCGGGCACATTAGCGCGCATGGGCTGGGCACCACCGACGGCGACGCGGCCGAGGCCCGCGCCATTAACGCGGTGTTGGGCGAGCATGCTAGGCAGACTCCCGTCACGGCCCTCAAGAGTTACTTTGGCAACCTTGGCGCCGCGGGCGGCGTGGTCGAGTTGATCGGGGGCTTGCTAGCTATGCGGAACAACGCCCTGCCCCGAGTGCTCAACTACCAGACCCCTGACCCGGAGTGTCTGGTCAATGCCGTTCGCGAAGACGGCCAGCCCGCAGGAGGAAGCGTTGTCGCCAGCAGCGTGACGCCGCAGGGGCAGGCTGCGACGGTCGTGGCGGTAACGGCCGGCTGACTCGGTCCGCTGTCATTGGAAGCGGTTGACACCCCTTAGCATCAGGGCTAGTCTGCTAGTAACTCACTGACCTCGTTTGAAGCCCCCCTCTCGGGTGGCTTTTGACAGCCGGCGAAAGCCGGCTTTTTGCGTCAATGGGGGCGATGCGGGCCGCGGTGTGGGAAGCTGAGGGGCCTGCTGGTACAACCCGACAACCCGATTTGCCCGGCGGCGGGCGACATTCGCCGCGAAGGAGCACGAAGCCATGAACGCCAGCGAAATTCTGCGGATCGTCGATGCCATTCACCGTGACAAGAACATCGACAAGGAGATCGTCTTCGAAGGGATCGAGGCGGCGCTGGTTTCGGCTCTGAAGAAGTATCACGGCGAAGAAGCCGAGATAGACGTTAAAATCAACCAGGACGACGGTTCGGTGACCGCCGTTTGCGAGGGCGAGACGCTCGACTCTGAGGAGGTCGTTGGCCGCATTGGCGCTCAAACCGCCAAGCAGGTGATGATCCAGAAGATCCGCGAAGCGGAACGCGACGCCCTCTACGACGAGTACGAAGAACTCATCGGCCACATGGTTAGTGGCGTCGTGCAGCGCTACGAGGGCGCCGCCGCGACGGTGTCGCTCGGCAACGTTGAGGCGATCCTGCCCCGCAGCGAGCAGATCCCCGGCGAGACCCACCACGCCAACGAGCGCGTCCGCTGCACCGTGTACGAGGTCCGCAAGGCCGGCAGTCGCGTCAAGGTGATCCTTAGCCGCCGCGCGCCGCAGCTCGTGCAGCGCTTGTTCGAGCAAGAAATCCCCGAGATCGCGGACAGTGTTATTGAAATCCGCGCCATGGCGCGCGAGCCCGGGTACCGCTCCAAGGTGGCGGTCAGCAGCAGCGACGCGCGCGTCGATTGTGTTGGCGCGTGCGTTGGCGTCCGCGGAAATCGAATCAAGAATATCGTCGACGAGCTCTCCGGCGAGCGGATCGATATCGTCCGCTGGGATGATGACCTCGAGGTGTTGATCCCCAACGCCCTGCAGCCGGCGGAGGTCGATCAGGTGATCTTGTGCCGGATCCTGGGGCGTGCGATTGTGCTAGTGCGGGAGGACAACCTGTCACTCGCGATCGGCCGCCGGGGTCAGAATGTCCGCTTGGCGAGCAAGCTGTCGGGCTGGGACATCGAGATCATGACCCAGGAAGAGCTCGCCGAATCGATCGACCGCGCGGTCGATGGCTTCAGCGGCATTGAGGGGGTGACCTTCGAGCTGGCCGAGAAGCTAGTTGAGGAGGGCTTCCTGAGCTACGACGACCTGTCGATCATCGAGCCCGAAGACCTCATGCAGATGGGCGGGCTGAGCGAAGAGCAGGTCGACAAGATTGTGGAGCAGGCCGAGTCCCGCGCCGAAGAGGCTGAAGCGGCTGCAGCTGCGGCTAGGCGTAAGAAGCGTGAGGATGACAATCAGGCGCAGCAGCAAGCAGCGGAAGAAGCTGCTGCCCAGGAGTCCGCCGCCGCGGATTCGGAGGGTTCAGATTCCGAAACCTCAGATGCGGCTGACCCCGCTGAGGGAGCCGACCCGTCTGCGGCAGGCGACGAAGCGAGCGCACCGTCCGAAGATGCGGAGCAACCGGCCCCCGAATTAGCGGAAGACGCCGCGGAGGAGCCGAAAGAGGCCCCGGCCGAAGGCTGAAGGCGCTAAATTTGCGCTAATCCTGGTCCTCGGCACGCTGCCCCCCTTTTAACAGCGGCTCCGGGAGGCGATGATCAAGGGCTTGGCGACCGCTTGCGAGAGTGGGTGGTCTGACTATCAGCGTCCGGCGGACCGGGCGTTACCCAAGCGGAGGCACGCGTCATGGTTTCGTGATAGGTACAAGCGAGAACTCGTTGGAGCCCGCCCCTCGGTGGACCAAACGAGCTAACGTGAACGAACGCCAGACGCACGTCGAGTTCAACGGAGAACACTAGTTTGGCGGTTCGTATCTATTCACTGGCCAAAGAGCTAAACGTCGACAGCAAAGAGCTTGTCGACATCTGCACCCGTGCCGGGGTGCCAGGCAAGGGATCTGCCCTGGCAAGCCTTACCGACGACGAGGTGTCGAAGGTCAAGCAGTTCATGAGCGGCGCCAAAGAGGCGCCCGCCGCCAAGAAGGGGAAGTCGGCCCCGCCGCCCCCCATGCGCCCCCCCGAGAATCGCGGCGCTGACCGGATGAAGGTCATCGTGACGCCTAAGGCGTCCGGCCCGCGGTTGAGCCCCCGGCGTGGTGAGGAAGCACCTGTCGAGGAAGAGCCGGCCGTAGCGGCGCAAGACGAATCTGAGGTGGAAGCCGCATCGGCCGACCAAGCGCCCGTAGAGCAGCAGCCCGCAGGCGATTCGCCCGCCGAGGAGCGGCCAATTGCTCCGGCCGAAGTGGAGGTCAGTTCCGTTGCCGAGCAGCAGGAGGCCGAGGCTGAGGCCAGCCAGCAGGCCGAGGCGGCCGCGGTCGAACACCGCGAGAAGCTCGCCAAGCCCGGTCCGCTTGCTCGGATGGTTCGCAAAGAAGATTACATTGGCCCGGCCAACTCCGGCACCGGCAAGATGCCCGTTGTCGGCGCCGGCACGGATCAGCGCAAGGGTGGCGGCAAGAAGCCGTCTGACGCCAAGGCCCGCCCCGCGATTCGCTTGGCCGCTGTGCCCGCTAAAGCCCAACCAAAGAAGGTTGAGAAACCCAAGGAAGAGGCCAAGGCTCAAAAGCCGGTCATGACCCTTCCGACCGAGGTGCTCGGAGCGAACAAGCTTGGCAGCAAGCCGCTTGCGCAGCACTTGCGCCGCGCCGAACGCACGCTCGAGGCCGAGCAGATCCGCGAACGATCTGGGGCCGGCAAGACCAAGGAAGTTGTCGACGAAGAAAACCGTCGCAAGTCTGGCCGCCCCATGCTGGGTGGCCGGGAAGCCCGTCAACTCAACCGCGACCGAGGTGGCGCCAGACGTCAGCGTCCCGGACTCGGGCGCCGCGTTAGGCGGCACCGCCGCTCGGGCGTCAACACCGCTGCGCCCCGCAAGGGCCGGATTGAGGTGCAGCTGCCTTGCACGGTCCGTGACCTGTCGGAGTCTGCCGGTGTGCCGGCCCGCGATATTCAACGGATTCTTATGGAAGAGGGCGTGATGGCCACCATCAACACGCCCATGGACCCGGATCTGACCGAATTCGTCGCGGCGGAACTTGGGTTGGACGTTGACTTCCTGCAACCCGAGACGCTCGAAGACAAGGTTCTCCGTCGGCTCGACGACATGGAGGATGATGAGGCCGATCTGATCGACCGCGCCCCGGTTATCACGTTCCTGGGCCACGTCGACCACGGCAAGACGTCCCTTCTCGATAGGCTCATCGGCATCGATGTCGCGAGCGGCGAGAGCGGCGGCATTACCCAGCACATCCGCGCCTACCAGATCGACAAGGACGGCAAGGCGATTTCGTTCGTCGACACGCCGGGCCACGAGGCGTTCACCGCCATGCGTGCCCGCGGCGCCAACGTCACGGACATCGCGGTAATTGTGGTGGCGGCCGATGACGGCATCATGCCGCAGACGGAAGAGGCAATCAGCCACGCCCGCGCCGCTGAAGTGCCAATCGTCGTCGCGCTCAATAAGATGGACCTGCCCGGCGCCGATCCGATGAAGGCCATGACCGGTCTGAGTCAGAATGGCTTGCAGCCCAGTGAGTGGGGTGGTGACGTCGAAGTCGTTAAGACCAGCGCCACGACCGGCGAGGGGATGGACGAGTTGCTCGACACCATCCTCACGGTGGCCGAGCTTCACGAATACCAGGCCAACCCCAATCGGCCCGCCATTGGCGTCTGCCTGGAGGCGACTCAAGACGCCGACCAGGGCGTGTCGTCCACCGTTATTGTCGAGACCGGCACCTTGCGTGTGGGCGACATCGTCGTCTGCGGCGACGCCTACGGCCGCGTCCGCGCAATGACGGACACCTTGGACAAGAGCCGTCGACTGGAGGAAGCCGGGCCGACCGTTCCGGTTAATCTGTCGGGCTTCGACGTTGCTCCTCCGGCGGGCGAGAGGTTCTACGTCTTAGACGACATCTCGCAGGCTCGGGAGATCGCCGAGGCGCGGGCCCATCAAACACGCTCGGAATTTCTCGGCGCGACCGGCTTCCAGCACGTCACGCTCGAGACGCTCTTCGACCGCCTGGATGGGGTCGAGGAAGTGCAGACGCTCAACCTCATTCTGCGGGCCGACGTGCGTGGCTCGATCGAGGCGATCCAAAAGGAACTTGCCAAGCTTGAGCACCCCGAGGTGCGTCTGCGGATTCTGCAGGCCAGCGTCGGCGGGGTCACGGCGGCGGACATTCATCTGGCGGACGCGTCGGACGCGATCATCATCGCATTCAACGTCGTCCCGGAAGAGTCGGCCAGGTCGCTCGCGGAGCAGTCTGGTGTTCAGGTCCGGCGGTACGACATCATCTACAAGATTACGGATGACCTGCGTGATGCTATGGAGGGCATGCTCCGTCCGGAGAAGATGGAAGTCTCGCTCGGCCGGGCGCTTATCCAGCAGGTTTTCCGGATCAGTCGAATCGGCGCCGTTGCCGGTTGTCGCGTGATTCAGGGTGTGGTCGAACGCAACGCTCGTGCTCGCATTATCCGCGACAGCACGATTATTGGCGACTACCCGCTCGACACCCTCAGGCGTGAGAAGGACGACGTCAAGGAAGTTCGCGAGGGATACGAGTGCGGCATCAAGCTGGCCGGTTTCAACGACATCAAAGAGGCCGACCTGCTTGAGTTCTACAAGGTGGAGGAGATCGCCAGGAGCTTCGACGACTGACCCGGATTTCTGTCTTCCGGGGGGCCGTGCGGTGCAATCATCGCCGGTCCGTAAGTCTTTGCTGTTTATTCTGGGCCTACCTCAATGACCTCAAGACGCGTACTCAAAGCCGCTGAAGCCATCCGCGAAGTTGTGAGCATGGCGATCCTAACGGAGATCCGCGACCCTCGGGTGTCGGACGTGACCGTGACGTACGTGGAGGTTTCTCCCGACATGCGTCAAGCCAAGGTTCACGTGTCGGTCATGGGCGACGACGCCAAAGGCAAGCTCTGCCTGCACGGCCTGCAGAGCTCCGCGGGGTTCCTGCAGAGCAGGATCTCCCAGCGGATCGACACCCGGTACACGCCGCAGCTCAAGTTCGAGCTCGACATGGGCGTAAAGAACTCAATCGCGATGACAAAATTGCTCAATGAGGTCCTCGAGGACCGCTCCGACACGCCAGGCGAATCGCCAAGCGACGAAGAGAATCAATAACGCCACCCGACGACCGACAGCCCACGTTTTCAGCTTAAATGGCCGCATCCAACCGCGCGAACCGCATCACCAAGCTCGTCACGAGCCTGAAGAAACACTACAAGCCAGTCCCTGCGGCGAAGGAGCGGACGCTGCTTGAGAACTTGGTGTTCGCCTGCTTGCTTGAGGGGTCGCCGCACGAGGAGGCCGAGGCGGCTTTCGAGCGTCTGCAGAGCAAGTATTTCGATTGGAACGAGGTGCGCGTGAGCACCCGCCGAGAGCTGGCCGAAGAACTAAAGACGCTTAACGACCCGGACGCCGCTGCCGACCGCCTCAAACGCACCCTGCAGAGTGTGTTCGAGGGAGTCTACACGTTCGACCTGGAGCCGCTCAAAAAGCAGAATCTGGGACAAACGGTAAAGCAGTTCCAGTCGTACAAGGGCATCACGCCGTTTGTGATCGCCTACGTGACTCAGGCGTCGCTAGGGGGGCACTCGATCCCCGTCAACGAGGGATTGTTTACGGCTTTCGTGACGCTTGATATTACGACCCCGGGCGAGGCCAAGGCTGGCACGGCGCCTGGTTTGGAGCGGGCGATCCCCAAAGCTAAGGGCATCGAGGTCGGTTCGATGCTGCATCAGCTGGGGGTAGAAGTCGGCAAGAATCCCTACGGCCAGAACGCACGCAAGGTGTTGATGGCGCTGGATCCTGGTTGCAAGGACCGGCTGCCAAAGCGGCCGCCGAAGCCAGAGCCCAAGCCCAGTAAGTCCGTTAAGAAGAAATCGCCCACGACCAGCAAAGCCGATACTGCCAAGGATTCCGCCAAAAAACCTGCCGAGGCGAGCAAAAAAACTGCCGCCTCAGGAGCGGTATCCGCAAAGAAGTCGGCTAGCCCTAAGAAGTCTTCGTCCGCCAAGGCCAGCTCCACCAAGCCTTCCCCGACAAAGAAGAAGGTCACTAAAAAGGTCGCGGCCAAGAAGGCGCCGGTGAAGAAGGCGGCCGCCACCAAGGCGAAGAAAAAGTCTGCCGCAAAACGCAAACCAAAGTAGCGCGTCCCCGCCGTGGCTTCGAGACTCTTTTTCATCGCGTTGCTCTGCCTGGCTATCGCTTGCACGGCCGTTGGTGGGCGGTTAGCGAACGCTGTCGGCGTGCGGCCCCTCACCGAAGAGGATCTGGATCGATCTCAGGCGGCGGCGAGTTTCGCGCTCGGAAAGTCGCTCTATGCCCGCTCCGACCTCGCCGGCGCGCTGCGGGCCTACCAGTCGGCTTGGCGGTGGGACCCGTCGCGGCGCGAACTGCTCGACGATATTGTCTCGTTAGCGGTGAGCCTTGGTCGCGCAGACGAGGCGATCCGGTACGCAATTGTCCAATCGGAGAGCGGCGGCGTCACACCCGAGTTGCTCCGACGCCTTGCCCTTTACGCCACAGAGTCTGAGCAGTGGGAGCAGGCGGCGGTGTTATACGAACGCTGGCTTGCGATAGCGCCTGAGCGTGACGCCTCGTTCGAAAAGGCGTTGATCCGCATTGAGCTAGGACGTATCTACCAGCAGTTGGGGCGGTTTGGTGACGCCTCACGCTGCGTTGCGGAAGTGCAGCGGACGCTGCTCCGGACCCCAAACTCAGAAGCCGCCCGGCGTCTCGCCTCCGCGCTCGGCGGTTCGCTGTCTCAGGTCTACCAAACATTCGGCCAGTGCCACCTGGAGGCCGGCGAGCACACGCTGGCCTCCCAGGCATTCGCGCAGTTGTCCAACGGCGACCTCCCCACGGGAGGTGGGTTGCAGTATTGGCTCGCCAAGCTGGCGCTCGCAGAGTCGCAGCCACTCGAGGCGTACTCTCAGCTGCATGCGTACTTCGACTCGCCAGGCGATCCATACGGCGCTGAGCCGTATGATCTCCTCCGCACAACGCTCATTCAGTTGAACGACCGCGGCCGGTTGCCGGCGGAGCTCAGTAGAATCCGACAGCGGCGCCCGCAGAGCCTGTACGCGTTGTGTGCTGATGCGCACCAACTCGCCAATTCCGGACGTCGGGAAGAAGCCGCCGCCCTGCTCCGCCGTGTCATCGAGTCTGCGGTTTCATCCGAGGCCTCGATTGATCAGGAGTCGTTCGGCGAGTCCGCCAATTGGCTTATCGACTTTTATGCTGAATCGGACGATGCGAATCGGCTATTGCCGCTGCTGCAGCAACTGACGATGGTTGATCCCACGCTCGAAAAGTTCACCAATTCACTCACGGGGGCGATGGACAAGAAAGCGTTCGCCGCCCAGATGAAAACCCGGCTCAGCATGCTTCTGCAGACCAACCCCACCGAGGCGGAACGGCTGCTCCCCGCATCGCGGCTCGCGCTAATCTTGGGCGAGAATAAGTTGGCCGTCGATCTCTTTAGAAAGGCGATTGAGCTTGTCGAGGAAGCCCGCGGGTCGATGTGCCTCGACTTTGCGGTGGACCTCCTCTTGGCAGAGCAGAATAACCTGGCTGCCGAACTGATCCGCAATTCGGTCGATGAGGGTGTGCTGGATTCCGAGGCCCCCGCCACATGGTACTATCTCAGTGCCGCACTTTCCTCTCAAAAGGGAGCGGACGAAGCCGTAGCGGCGGCTCGTCGGGCTGCGGAACTCGCCCCAGATTCACCAGAATTCGCGGCGCACGTTGCACGGACGCTGCAGATTGCGGGCCGACAGGAGCAGGCGATCGAAGAGTACGCCACCCTGTTGGAACGCTTCGACGCCGAATCCGATAGCTCGGTTCGCCAAACGCTCCGCGAAGCGCGGCTGAGTTATTCATATCTGCTCCTCAGCGAAGGGGAAGCAGACGCGGCCGTCAGAGAGCTTCAGCTAGTGCTGGACGAGTTTCCCGGCGACCCTGGCGCTAGCAACGACCTCGGTTATCTGTGGGCCGACCGCGGGCTACACCCGCTCCGCTCCGTTCAGTTGGCAAATGACGCCGTTGCCGCCGAGCCCGAAAACCCTGCGTACTTGGACAGTCTTGGTTGGGCCTTCTACAAATTGGGGGACCTCGCTCAGGCACGCAACACGCTCCAGCGGGCAGTAAACGCAACCACGGTCGCCGATCCTGAGATTCTTGACCACCTCGGCCAGACACTCGCCGAGAGTGGGGACGTGCAGGCCGCTCGGCAAGAGTGGCGACGTGCCCTCGCAGCGCTGGCCGACGATGCCGGTCGGTCCGAGTTGCGTGATGCGATACAGAAGCGACTCGAGCCGCTAGAACACGATAAGCAGCCCACGGCGCCAAGGGGCGCCGAATAGCATCCATCATCATCTTCCTACTCACGAGCTTACTATGGCAGGCCATTCACATTGGGCGGGCATTAAGCATAAAAAGGCCGCGATCGACGCCAAGCGAGGGAAAGTTTGGAGCAAGCTGTCTAAGGCGATCATCGTCGCCGCCAAGATGGGCGGTGCGGACCCGGACGCCAACCTGCGTCTCCGCTATGCGATCAACGACGCCAAGGCGATCTCGATGCCCAAGGACAACATCGAGCGCGCCATCAAAAAAGGCGCGGGCGACAGTGACGGGGACAACTACGAGGAGATCATCTACGAGGGCATGGGGCCGTCGGGCGTCGCGTTCATGTGCGAAATCCTTACCGACAACCGCAACCGGACGGCGCCTGAGATCCGCAAGATATTCGAGGTCTGCGGCGGTAAGCTCGGCGCCACTGGCTGTGCGGCATGGATGTTCGAGCGGAAAGGTCTGCTGGTGATTGCAGCGAGTCAGACCGATGAGGAGTCGCTCATGGAGCTTGCACTCGAGGCGGGCGCCGACGATGTCAGGCACGAGGGCGACCAGTTCGAGGTCACTTGCCCGGTCGACGCCTACAACGACGTCTGCAGCGCAGTTGAAGCGGCCGGATTAGCGACCGAGAGCAGCGAAATCACATTCCTTCCCAACGACTACGTCGACGTCGAAGGCGACGACGCCAAACAGGTGCTGAAGCTTATGGAACGCCTCGACGATCACGACGACGTCCAGAAGGTAAGCTCTAACTTCAGCATCGACGAATCGGTAATGGCGGAGCTCGAAGGCTAAGCCCTGCGGGGCGGGATGGTTTCCCCGAGTTGGGCTTCCCCTGTCGCCCCGCGTGTAGTATTTTATTGGGAGCTGCGAACCCTTGCTCTCAGGGGCATCTCCGCGGCGATATCTCAACCAAGTTCGGGCCGTGGCGCAGTCTGGTAGCGCGTTTGACTGGGGGTCAAAAGGTCGCAGGTTCGAATCCTGTCGGCCCGACTTTGCTAAGCTCTACCCCAGTAAGGGTTTAGCATCAGGATGACTTGGCTCACCCCCAATCTATCCGCCATTCCATCCGCCATTCAGCTCTCGCGGCTTGCCTTTGGGCGGCCCGAAGAAAGAATAGATGGAAGGCATTCGAGCCAACCGAGCAAACGCCAATTTGCTCAGCCACACACAACTGAAGCGAGTCCCATCGTGTCCCGATCAGCCAAGCTGAGTCGGAACCACGGGTATTGGTATACCCGCGCTGGTAGTCGCGCCGGAGTCTACTTCGGCAAAATCGGCGAAGTCTCCTACGCCGAGGCCCAGCGAGAGTTCCGCAAGTACCTTGCCAGTCTCAACGAGCAGCGGGTCGTTACGACGCTCCCCTCACTCTCGGTCGCCGAGGTCTGCGACGCCCACCTCGTGTGGGTCCAAGACGAGCGATCCGTAGCCTTGTTTGGCCAACGCCGCTCGATCCTTGAGCACTTTGCCAGCCATCGCATTGACACGCTCCGCGACGAGGAACTCCCTGGGCACGGCAGGCGGATAGCCATGCTGCGGGCCACAGACCTCAAACGACGGCACGTAGAGCAGTATCTCCAGCACCGGGCGTCCACGCCTAGCAAAAAAACCGGCAAGCCGGTCGGCGATAAATCGCTCAGGCATATTGTCGTCGCCCTCAAAGCGTGCTGGAACTGGGCCGCCGATAGTGTCGAGGATGGCGGCGGGGGGTTGCTGCCCGAGGATCATCGGCCGCTCGCCAAACTGCCCCGTGGCTACGTCGCCCCGAAGGACTTAACCGAAGCCGACCTGCCAACTGACGACGAAGTCGCGTCGCTGCTTAAGTGGGCGGCTGTGGAGCCTTCGCAGTTGCAAATAGAACGCGGCGTCTGGCGGCCGCGAGAGGGCGAGGAACTGAAAACCTACGACGCCCGGGTCTTCGCCGACTTGCTCGCCGTCTACCATGCAACGGGGGCACGCACGAGCGAGTTGTGTCAGGCCGAGGTTCGCGACTTCATGCCCCGCACTCAGCAGATCGTGCTGGGCAAGCACAAGCGTTCCCGTACTCAGCACAACCCGACCCTCCGCCGGATTCAGGTGGGGAAGAAAGCAGCCGAGATTCTTCGCCGACTCGCTCGGGGAAAGGCAACGGACGCTCCGCTTTTCGACCACCAGGACGGAACCGCATGGAACCTCGATCAAGTCGTGCGAAGGTTTAAGCGGACGATTAAGCTCGCGACCGGCAAGGGGGACGCCGTCCGTGACCATCTAACGGCATACTCGTTCCGCGATCTCTACATCAGCGAGCTGCTGATGGTCGGCATCGAGCCGTTCAAGGTGGCCAAGATGGCGGGCACCAGCATGCGAGAAATCGAACGCGCCTACGGTCACTTCTTTGAGGCGGACCTCGCCAGCGCCCACGAGGCGTTGGAGGCGGCGCGAGCAGAGAGAGTGGCATGAATAAGAGGCCTTCACGCGGTCGGATCGATCCGCAACAGCTTGAGCGAGGAGACGCGGCTTGGTTTCGCGCTCGGGCGGGCGTGCTGCGAACGCTTGCTCGTCTCGTTGTGGCAGCGTGTCAGCAAGAGACAATCAATTTCAGCGGCTGGGATACGGTACGTGGGCCGGATCGCGTTGGGCGAGATCGTGCGATAGGAAACCAAGCCGCTTCGCAAATAGCGATACACCGTGTCGCGGCTGACCGACAAGCGTCTGGCTGCCTCGGTCACCGTCAAGTCGGGCACGTCGCGTTGTTGAGAGGAGGCGGCCATCTTGCTAGAACCAAGAGTACTGGCTTCTCGCGAAGTCAGTTGTGTGTGGAGCCCGCCAGAAACCGGGGAAACGTGTTGGCGCACGCCGGGCCTGGCGGGCTCTCTTTTTGCTTCAAGTGGTCGTCGGATCGTGGGATACATCCGTCTCGATGATGGGCCGCTTTGCGGTCAACGCCGCATCGACTAGCGTCACGATCGCTTCGCGAACGTGCGGCGGCAGCATGCACCATCGGGATGCGACGTACTCCGCAGAACCTGAACGCGAGAGACTCACGGGCAAACTATGGCTCGATTCAGGCTTGCTCATTTCTCGCTCCTCTCGCCGTTTTGCTGGAAGATCCAGCTGTGGGCTTGGTCGGCTGCCTTAGCGACGAGTGGCAGGTCATCGCGACCGAAGTGCTGAGATTCGACCCAGCGATCGCCGTTCTTGTAGATGCGAGCGAGCGTCACATTGAACCGCTCGCCGACCTTGGTCTGATTCTGCCAGACGAGTGCTTTGATCAGTCCGAAGCGGACTTCGTGAACGGGTTGCTTAGACATCAGATTTCTCCTCAAGTGGTGGTGGTTAACCCAAGAATGGTTCTTCGCCGCAGCCTGGGCAGGCGAGGCGTTGTTGTTGCTGGAGGTAGGCTTGGCTGGCGGACAATGCTTGCCGTTTGTCACCGGCGCCTAGTCGTCCATAGAACTTTCCGCATAGGCCGCAGACGACGCGGCACACGCGCCCCTCGGTTTGGACGACCCAGCTACCGGTTGGTTGCCCAGCAGAGTCGAGTGCTTGGAGGGTATGGTCACATTGATTCATTTTGGGGCTCCCTGTCAGGTCGATGGCGAGCCGTGGTCGACCACGGTGGCACGGCCCGCGTCGTCTGCACCTCACCAGAGCGACGGCGGGGACGGCGGCGAACTGCGGCAAGCGCGAACCACTTGCTAGAACAACACCGGCGGCGCTGGTAGATGCCTGCTTTGTTGAGTTTGGCTGCCATAGACGGTCCAATCTGGGTGAAGTGAAAGTTCGTGCCCGTACATCGCCAGGTAATGGGGTGGACTTACTCGTTGAACTAGCTTGCGCACTGCTTCCGGCTTCGTAGAGTTTTCAGAAGGTGAGCCCTTGAGCCAGTTGCGACGCGGTTCCCGAGAGAATGGCAGGCCACCCCGAACGCCGAGCAGCAAAAACTCATGAGCGTCACGCCAGTACGCGCCCCTAACCCTTTGTGGCCGAATGCAAATGAAGCAGGATCTCGGTTCAAATCCCCAAGCATCCATGACATCGAGTGCCGCCGGCAAGTTAGTGCTGGACGCCCACAAGTGGAGGTGAGCTTGCTCGGCTACGAGCCGCGAAACAGGCTCGCCGCAGATTGCTTCGAGTGGCATAGGTCGGTACGGAGCGACGCCAGCTTGTGACGCATCGGGCCACGGCGGGTCGGCATAGATTGTGGAGAATTGCTCACCTTGGTCGATCAGCTCCGAAAGTGACCTGACGATTCTTGCGCTCGGTGAAGGCTTGGTTTCGTGATCCTCTGGGACGATGGGTTTGCTCTTCGCGGCCAGCAAACGCAACAAACCGGCAGTCGTCACCTCTCGATTCGCCGCGAGGTTGTCGGCCACGTGTTCTTCGAACGTTTCCTGCGGCAGCGAGGCGACACGCTGCAAACGAGATGAATCGCTCTTGGTGAGTCCAAGACTCTCCAGGGTGCAAACCCCATCAGCGAGAGCGTCCTCCATCGGACCTGTGTATTGGTTGCCGGGGGTTGCTTTGGCGAGAGGCGTCTCACCGAGCATCTCGCCGAGTCGTCGTTCGGCCCGCGCTTTGACGATTGAAGCTTCGACAAAAATCTCGCGGCCCAAACGGGCCTTCCGGGCATACGCTTTAACAGCCTCGGCCTTATCGCGGAGGTCTTTGGCCTCATCAATCGACCGCAGACTGGCGATTGCTCGTGACGCCTCTGTCAACACGAGTAGCTCTCGCGGTTGGCCCATCGTGTGGTCGGTCATTTGGATCTCCTCGCAGGTGCGTTAAAAAAGGGCCGCCGGAGAAGCGAAAGCTTCTCCGACGACCGACGTTTTTGTGACGGACTAGAAATCGATCAGCAGACGAGCGAAATATCGCAGCGTCAGCGCTGAACAAAACCCAAGTCCGAACACAAAGGCATTCCACACGAACGCACTGGTTACTCCATCGAACGTAGGCAGTTCGCCAAACATTCTGGACCGAGGCCGAAGCAAGATGCGCGCGATGGGCTTGCCCTTGCTTGGCTCACCAGTGGAAGTCACGATCGCTTCAGGAAGTTGCTCCTGAGTGATGTGGTGCAGGCGCCCACAGGCGTCTTGAATTTCCATCCGGTGTATCCGACGAACCATCACCTGTCCGTTCTCCATGTGCATCCATTTGGTGAAGTGGTCACTTCCGTGCTTTAATGCCATTGTGTGGCTCTCCTATTTCGTCGCGGCGAGCGTCCGACCCCAGTCAGTCCGCAAGCAGCGAGCGTTGCTAAAGCAGTCAAAACTTGCCGCGCAAGTCGTCACCGCTTTGGGCGAGCCACACCTTCAAACTAAAAACAAGAGACCCCAAGGGGTCTCTTGCTCCACAAGCGCGCCAAGAAGACCACGGTCTTCAAAGCAAACAGCCAAAGCTGTTCCGCAGCGCAAGCAGAAGTAAAAAACCGCAGGGAACACGTCACTGCGAAATCATCTGAACACACGGTTCAGACCCGTCGATTGTTTAGTCACTCCAGGACGGGGGTGGGGAGGAAAAAGAAATCGTTTTCGCCAGCGCCGAGCGGGTCTCTGCGGCGATGCGGTCTAGCGTTTGTAGTCTTGTTATCAGCTGAGGCCCGATGACCAGCATCCACAGGACGAAGGCCACCGCGAGCGCCTTGCCGAACAGGGTGTACACGCCTTGCCGGAAGCCGCTTGTCGGATTGTCGTGCAGCCACGCCTTGAGTCGCGTGTGAACGATCAGCACTGCCAGTAAGACTAAAAAGGTCATCGGAGCCCCCTTTCTGCGAATTGTGGTTGTTGGATGCATTCATTAGAGACAGCCGCCGT